GACAAGAGGCTCCCGAGTGTTTTCTGTCATTTCCCCAAAAATTCGACGACGATTCATGGTAGTACTCTGGGCCTACTTCACGAAACCGTAGAGAACCCTTCAAACGGACCATCTTCGGTTGCAAAAAAACCTCTTTGCAAAATGGCCGATGACGTTTTGTCTATGTCTAAAGTAGTACGAAACGGTTAGCTGAAGCCAAAAGTTGAAATCATCCTCCGAGGTCAGCTGATTTTAAGGTAATAAACAGCCGTCTCAAATATGCAAAACATTTTCCAATTCAATCTGGAAAAGTTCAAGCCACCGCTAACGTTTCTCTTTCATTCTTTCACATGATAAAAACGAAAACCATAAACTTCTACTACCGTTAGTTTACAAAGACGTTATTCAAAAACAGTTTCCCTTGAAATTGTTTGGAATCATAAGCTCACAATATGAAGACGAAGGCAAAAGTTTCTCTCGAAATTACTTTCAACTATTTTTTGGAAGTTCTTCAGTCATTAAGCTTTTGAGTCGTCCAAACAAAGTTTTCACATGTTTCGAGGATCGACTCATAGTTCGTAGTACAAACTTTCTGAGCAGATTTTGTGAACGAGCACAAAATTCTAGTTCACCCATTTTGACTTCCAGAAGACATATTCAAATGGTTGAACAATAAAAGAACTTTTGAGAAATTAAAGAAACTTTTCTATCACCTGTTATGAATAAAATAAAGATGAATTTGAAGACTTGTTCATTATCTGAATTAATGGCTAATTAATTATATGAATAATCGCACAATTAATTTGTCTTCATCTAAAAAGAAAATTTGAACATTAAATGGTAATCATAGTATCATCATAAAGCAACAGAAAAGACATTATGTAAAACTTATTTTATATATGTCGTATCGAAGTTATAACTTCGATGACGTGCTCGATCGAATTTGTCCTGATTATACTCAACGGTAAAGAATTAATTATTCGAATGATACTATCAAAAGTGCTAGTTTTAAAGCTATATCTCAGCTAAACAGCAAATATATTTATCCGATAAAAAACCAGAAATGCATAAGTTATGAAGTAAAAAGTGAAAAGATATATTCTTTTCTGTTCTATCCTTAGTAGTGTTTCTAAGCTGTGTATTTATCATGTACAAATCAAGTCTATAAACTAATTATAAAATTGAGACACCTATTGAAAGTGAAACTGTCTGATAATGGGATTATAATAAGCGGATCACTTTCAATAGTATTATAAATATAGGAATACGCATAAAAAGTATACTCGTACAAATTTATAAATTTCAAACATATAACTCTTTTCCACTCACAATCAACGCTACAGGATTGAACACAATGATGATTTCACCTAAATCATCTCCTATGAGAAAACGTAAACCTGATAAGAAGAAAATCAAAATATTTTCGTCAATAATATCTGCTGTTTAGCTGAAATATAACTTTTTAACTAGCATTTTTTACAGTATCATTCAAATAATTAATTCTTTATCGTTGAGCATAAATAAACAGGACAACTTCGATCGAGCACGCTATCGAAGTTATATAGAAGTTGTCATTTCGATAAACATGCTAACTTCGATACGACATATACATACGAACTTCTTTAAATAATATTTGAATAATAAAATTGAATTACACTACATAAAATAAAAAGCGAGATGAATTAATATATAATAACAAAACGAAAAAATGAAATCTATTTCAGTCGCTCATTCGGTATGCCATAACAAGTAGTGTGGTTAAGGTCTAATCAGTTTTGATAAATATAAGAACGGTATCGGAGTTAGTCTTTCGCCATTGTATTCAAATCTTTTATCCTCATATTTGCATTATCACTCAATATATCGTAGTAACAACAAGCACGATCAAAATATTCCAGCGCTAATTTTGCTTTTTTTTGTTCAATACATTTGTTACCTTGTTTTCTATAGTAGATACCAAGGTTATGAGCTAGTTGTGATATTAACTCATTTTCTGTAGTAAAAATCCCTACTAGTTTTTGAAGCAAGTTGTTTACAAGAGGATAATTATCACGTAAAAAAACGTACACCGATTGAACATGTGTAGACTTTTCAAGCTCTGGAAAAATCTTTTGTACAAAATCGCTTGACACAATAAGAATGATCTGTTCGCCCATTGACTGCCTAATATGATCGAGACAAGATTCAACATCATGAAAAAATACAACTTTTTCTTGAAATATTTTTAATTTTGGTTGCATGTTGATTCCGGAAGGATCATTCAGCATCACGATTGCAAGATGAACAATCATATCTTCCAACGGTTTATCTTTTATAAATTAAAATAACAACATCTTACTAAATACTAGAAAAATTCAATATTTTTCTCCTACCTATCGTTTGTTCTGCAAATGTTTGACTTTCTTGATTCAATTTTTTCATGTGATCCATTAATTTATCAAACAATTTACTTGGGTTATCTTCATCTAATTCTTTTTTTGCCAGATTTATGAGATTACGTACAGAGTCTTTCGTTTTTGTCGAATTTTTCAACTTAACTGTCCAATAATTTTCTGCATTGTTATATTCAACACTAGAGATTTCAAACACGCTTGCCAAATCAAACAAAACTTCTGATTCATCCGGAAAACAGCTTGATTCGGATATATCAGCTAAAATCGGCGATGGAAGTGTCGTATCACAAGCTATTTCAATAATGACACTCTCATTGTAGAGTTTATTAGCAGATTGTCCAGAATAGACGAGAGCGACACCTTTATCTCGACTTGTCGACAAAAATCCGTTAAAAACTACCAGAGTACCGACGTTTGATTTTAATTTTTTAATCTCATCGCTAGACATTGGTAATCCTCGATAAACAATGAGTAAATGTTCATTTTTTTTTAACGATAAAAACGATTTTCGTAATTGTGATCGTAAATCTTGAATATAATATCGAAATGCATTCAGTTTCTCGTAAGCGTGTGTTCGCAGTGCCTTATTCAATAGTTTATGTACAAATGAATCTTTTGAATACCAGACAACCGCTTTTTCATCGTAATAGTCAGAATTGAAATGTTCAATATTATCCAGTTCACGAGGATTATCATTATAGTATTCCTTACACATAGCAAGTAATTGTCGACGAGTTGCTTCTTGCTTTACCTCTGTAAGTACAACGGGTAACAGCACAGTCCAGAGAAACACTATCGATTGTCGTGTGAGACTTTTTTGTGATTGTTGGTTATCGAATAAACAAAAACCTGTGTAAGATTTTAATTCTGTATAGAAATGAACGCATTTAACCAGGTCATGTTCAATATCAAAACAATCGACAAGTTTCTTATAATTATTAAGTAAATGAATATATTTTTCACGGTTAGCGCAATATATAAATATTGAGTCAATCTGTGGCTTGGCATGAAAATCCGATATCATCGTTTCAGCCAACGAACCAGATATGATTAAAAAAAGTTTTTCTTGTCGCTGATTAATGTCTTTTATACAAACACTAGGATCATCATAAAGTTTAACATAATCATTGATTTTTGTTAGTAATCGTTGAGCTGGACGTTTACATTCTGCACAGAAACTTTTATCCAGCCAAAAAACCGTTATATCTTCTTTATTCTCAGGCTCCGCTTCAAAATTAAACGATCTGATTTTCGTTAGATAATCTTGTGACTGAGGTATATTTGCCATAAGATCTAAATTAAGACCTGTAGAATTGACAGCAATGTCAGAGTAATTTTTCCTTGGCATGGTGATAAAAGGTGCTACTGAAAAGAAACAGTCGGAAAATATCAAATACATAGAAACACAGGTAAAAAATGTACTAAAAGTATTAGAAAAATTCTCAGATGATCATATTTTGCCCGTGAATATCGCTAAAACTCAAGCAATGCGAATCAACCGCGCAGTAGCATCCGATAAACCAAAAATTGAATATAAAGGCGTACCTATTGACTCTGTTCCATCATTTAAGTTTTCATGAGCCGGGTGTTTTGCACAATCAGAACCATGGGTCGAGACTACCTATTGTAATGGGACGAAGTTCTCTGCCCATGGGCTGATGTATAGAAAAACCGACATTTTTCTACTAGAGACCGCGTGAGAACGATGTGACAAATTTACTCTTTTAAAGTGT